AATATGATTAATAACTTAGATTTAAAACTATTCAGTACAGAATAAATATCAATATCAGAATTACTGGAAATATTATTTTAAAGACATACAATTAGAATTAGTGTGAATTTTCTCCTAATTTAAAATTCCCCTATGTCTAAGACGTCTGGCAGGACCATCATAATGAGCATTAGGCTGACAAAAAAAATATCTCTGTTTCTCGTTTCTGCGCGCATCATTTTGAACTATGCACCTCAGACGTTTTTTTTCTTCTAAAGCATTCCAAAATGCTCCTGTACTTGCACTTGTCTCAAATTTCCCCCATTTTAGCTCAGTATTCAAAAAAAAAAGTCGCTTCGAAAATTTCCATGAAACGAGAAACAGAGAATTTTTGTTTTCTGGCCTTACTAATTTTGTACAAAAGCACATGTCCAACATGGTCCTTCTGTCAGATAGTAGTGAAATTTTAAAAAAGAAATTGTAATTTATTCAGTAATTCAGTTCTCTGCCTCATGTTGGTATGCTTAAAACAGTTGATTGGAGAGGCAAAAACATTTAACAAAATGCATTTCATCTGTCAAAAAAAAAGTCATTTGTGAGAAACATGAAAATTACAGTGAAAATTGAATGTAGAGAACTGTTTCATTCCTCATCAATTTTTTCATTCAAATTTCTTTTCCGAGATACTGTAGGTGGTCCAATCTCATGTTCAACAATGAAAAAATGTTTTATGTCATTTCAAATTGGATTCAACTTCTACAGTCCTGACATATTTACATATAGAAATAATGTAACATACATCTAGATTGTAGACAAAATGTCTGCAGGTAACCAACAATATTTTGAAATAGAATACATAATCAGTTGTTCTAATCTTACAATATGCAGAGAAATCTCATGACAACATCTCTGTGATTCTCACTGACCAATAGGAATGGGTTATTTACCTCCCATCAAATTGCCTTTTAATGTACTAGCAAGTTTTAACAATCCTATATAAAGTCGGTTTGTCATTGTTTACCAATTTCATTACACAACGACTTTGCAATAGAACAACAACTAATACCATGTTTTTACAAATTAACGCAAACGACCTTCTGACGAATGTGTGCTAGAATTTGCGTGTATTGAAATGCAGACAATAACACAGTGGTACAATATGGGAGGTCACTATTTTATAGACGACATCCAATTGTTAGGGTGGCCCACAGTGACTAATTTGGGAGTACAAAATGAAGGCATTCTTTTCATGGTATAGCAATAGGTAGCTGCGAACAACTGCGATAGAGTGTTATGGTTACCGTCAAAGTGCATTCTCCAGATAGACCAGCGTTTGCAATTCCACAAAATGGTGATTAGAGATATGATGGTTTTGTGTCTATGAAAATGTTTATTTGACAAATATGCAATTTTTATCAAATTAATTAATAAACTTCCAGGTCAATACTGTAAAAAACAGTGAATCTACCTTCTATATTTTCCATTCACCTTAATAAAAAACAGTGAAAGTAAATAACATACAAAACACCCAAGAAGTCTTTTCAGTGAAAATTAATTAAAATAAAGTATACTGTACCCTATTCATGCATTCAGTGGTTTTGCATCACATTGGACGTATTAAGTTTGATTACCAAACAAATACTTTGCAGCATGCAAATTAACCATTCAATATATTTGATACAACATTTGCTAATAAAATGTAACTTACCAATTATGGAGACCCTAACCCCCCTCCCCCTCACCTAGGTATTTTTTTTTTAAATACATGTAATGCAAAAAAACTATGAAAAACAAATTTAATATAAAGCTATAATAATATAAATTTCAAAGTCATTACCTAAATGATAGTATTTCAGGATTCAAGTGCAATAAAGTCTCACAGTCAAGTTAAGTATTTATTCAAACATTAAGGCAGAAGCATGATTGGCTCACAGTATTCGTACTGTGAGGTTCAGTACAAATCTAAAAAACATAAAATGGTCAAATTTTTCCTTTTTTTCAAAAACCGTGCCCTCCAAAACCCTTGGTTTCATGTAAAACATCAAAATTGATCAAGAAACAAATCAAGCAAACTGGAAATTCCATACATTGATTACACCTTGAAGCAATAATTGGCATTATTATTCAATACAGTATTGATACCCTATTTGGCGCTTTTTCATATGAAAATAAAACTTACATTATAATCATTATTTTCTGATTAAATTAAGTTTAATTACTTGCATTTATAACCAGCCAGTTAAGTGAGCTAAACACTTTGCGACTTTGACATTGCCAAATCATCCCTATAACCGTCGCCTAGCGACCACAACTGTTTACGCTATGTACGTAGAATTTTTAAATGGATTTGACAGTAACCATATACTGTACAATTTTGTATTGTTGTAGTAGACAATAGCGAGACGTTTTTATTCCCTGGTGTAGTGGAATACAATAAAACGCCCACCACAACTTATTTTATACAATACCCGTTATCACTGAGTCAACAATGCCCAATGCGAAATACATTTGTTTCGCTTCGTTTGCTTTTAATTTTGGTCCCGGTTGGTGTTCTCCGATAATGAGGATCAATATGGTTTGTTAGTTTCAGCACATAGTGCGCTATTCTCGTCTGTTATTTGCACCAATATATCACTGTGTTGGCGGGTTTAGGAATTGGAGCAAAAATGGATTGGAGAGAAAGATACAACAGGTGGTTTTTTTGTTATTGGCTTCTCCTGTGATCATAATGATATTATTGTGGATACGATAAAACCAATATTACCCTCATGTTCGGATTAATGAATACAGTTAAGATGTTTCCTCGTTAACCATTTCACCACCAGTTCCCTCTTTTCATCACAACTTCAAAAAACAGTCCCGTTTATAATCTGCACTTTCCTTAAGAAGATTGGGACAGTAATAGCCAAATTTGTTCAGTAAAGACTGAAAATTGACTCGAATATTGTCTGTTGCCTCCAAAATTATAAGAGTCGAGAAAGTCTGGTGGTGAAAAGGCTAGATATTTGTATGAGTTCGCGCAATATTTTTTTCTAAGGTTGATTCTCGCTGACATCAGTGATTATCGCCAGTGTTTTGTAACAATCCAAGTTGTAAACAATGATTGTACTACTCTGACGGTAATTATGAGTGTATGCAGTCCAGTACAACAGCGCCCTCAATGGCTACTTTGTAAATTCCACCACATAAATGAGAACTAATGTTTTCATGTCGCCGTAGCCCTTGGACAACTGACCCTACTTGTCTAATCCCCCACAGCAACTGAGTTTGAACTGTGATCGCTGTTGAATGCATTCTGCAGTTTTTACTTGACTACACTCTAGTACGTGAAACTACGCTAGTTTCTAGTTGCCATGGTTTCTTAGATATATTATGCCCTTAGCAGTACTTCACTCAAACTGTATCTTGTTGTCAGAGTAATTGAGTCTTATGTTTGAGTATGAAATTGACTACATGTATTTTGTTTCATTAGGGGTCAACCATTATAAATTATGGGGGGGGGGGGCTTTAAGAAAATGTGTTTAAAAAAAAATAGTGTTTGTCAGCTGTTGCAGGAAAAATGTTTGCCCATTTGAAAAAAAAAAAAAATATTTACAGATGTGAAACCATGAAAAAAAAATTGCACTGCTCACACTCAACCAGCCAACCCCCCATGTTTACAAATGGTTTACCCCTTACAAGCAGACCATAGTGTGACATTAATGTGATGGCATCTTTATAGTTGTAGTGTTAATTAGTGTCAACATTCCAGTACTGTCAGGCAGACTGAATTGAGATTTTTATTTGTAAATAAAAAAAAACAAAAAAAAACACATATGTGACACCATTTATTTGGAAAAAATAATTGAAAAAACAACCTTTTAATATACCAGTTAATTGTCATTCACTTATTTCCTTCCCTGTGGTTACTTTTTTTTTTCGATGATAATCTATTCAATTTTTAATTTATACACATCGCTACAATCGCTATGTCTGAGGTAATTGGTATGTTTAGATAAAGCGTGTTCTTCTTCAAGTATGCCCAGACAAAATATACATGCTGTTTTTTTTTACTTTTTATTTTTTTATGTTATTTAACACAATCCAAAAATACTGATTTTTTTGTAAATAACATGTTTGCATGAAGCAACTTGGATAAATGACTGTACGCTTGAGGTCTTCTTTTGTCTGTTTTCGCCGCAAATTTACTTAACCTGCAGGGTACTGATCGAGATCTGAATTCTAAAAAGGCTTTTTATATTGAACAGGGTTTTTCTTCTTGTTATTAAGTGGCTTATACGTGATAACCTGCCCAGGGCTGTGATTACTGTTGCCATGGCAGTGGTGTGAAATATAATTACAGCAATGTTGAGTGCAACTTTAAATAACGATTAGAACCACAATAGTGTTGATAGTTTGGAAACGAGCCATGATGTTGTGTAAACGAGACGATGCTAGCAAACAGGTGGAAAGGAAACCAATCAATACGCGCATACATAATTAAAGAGCACCTTTGGGACGTACCATTATACCAAAATGTCGACTGTAAAATAGTTTTGAGTTGTGGAATTATAATAAACTGTAATTTGTTTGTGTTTCTTTAATGCTTGTTAGTAACTCTAAAATCTTAGTGTTTAATATATTTTGTGTTTATCACTTATAGACACTTAATTGTATCACACCCTCCAACTTCACCACCTTCCCTACCTATTATATTAATGGAGTGTTCCTTTTTACTTTCAGGTTGCTATACACATTAATTAATGATGAGTGACAGCGAGTCGTCAATCTCTGATCATGTGACTCGGCCACAAACCTATCAACAGGACCAAGATTATCAAGCTGAGGACAGCTTCACTGAAATGGCAGAGTTGACACGTGATTTGGCAATTACGATCCCGTGCCAGCATTGTCATGTGCCAGTTGATGTTAGATCACTGAAGGAGCATCGAACTTACCACCAGGCACTTAAGTTGTTCGATTATAAAGGTACAAATTCACCTACTAGTCTTGCAGATTTGTTGAAACGTCGAAGGTTCTTTATGAAGAAAATCAATAAAACTACCGATTCTGATAACCCTCTTCCAGTTAAGACATTGCAGAAATATAATGATGCATTTGACTTACTGAGATCCAACATGGAAGGGACCTACGAAGATTGCCGACAAATACGCGAGAACATCGTCATCGATTCTGAAGGTTTGAGTCTCAGCTGCAGCCCATACTGCATTCGTGCGGTTGGAATATGCTCTGATGCAAATGAACGTTGGAAATCTACAATGGAAGACACCAGGGTTTTCCAGGATTATTTTGGGAATGACATCAACAAGTGTTTTTTTGGAATTTACGATGGTCACCACGGACGTTTTGCCGCAGAGGTGGCAGCGAATGATTTGCACCACTACTTACTGCACGAGATGACTAAGTTTGACGTGGATACCTCATGTGTGTGTGCTGTCAATCTTGTCGAAAATAATGACCTATCGGATTATGATTTGAACCGTCCTCCTCGTGATACAAGATCTGAAAGCATTCGTCATGTTCTCCATGAAGAAAGTAAAAACATAATCCAACAAATCATGCACACGTGTGAGGTAAACCTTGAAAAACTTTCTGGACTACAGGGTTCATCAAAAGATTCGCCAAAAAAGACAAAAAAGAAACATTCAAAGGATCCATTTTCCGAACGAATGGGACATGCGTTTAGGAGAGCGTATCGAAAAACTGATGATATCCTCAAACTAGGGCAAGATGAGAGGTCGCGAGTAAGGTGGAGCGGTTGTTCGGCACTTACATGCGTTATACAAAATACAAAAATGAAATCAGATGAAGATGAGTCGGATGACGAAAAAGAAAATAATGATGAAGTAAATGAGAATGAGGAAAAGAAATCAAAACAAATCAAACCACCAGAAGAGAAAGGCGTCATACACTTAGCGAACACAGGTGCGTAATATCTTTTTTTAAATATATATGTGTAAAAAAAATTATGGATTAAATCAAGCAAACTTTTTATTGTGTAACCACATGGAATATTTATCTCTGATTTGTATATTTCAAAAAAATATCTGCTGCAGTTTCCAACTTCATGAAAACCAATGTTATGATTTTTTTTTTCATTTAGTTTTGTATTTTCGGAAAATAATTTTCTTTTTTGTAGTTTAATACAGTATTAACATTTTGCATATAAACTATTACTTTGGAACTACATGAGACCACCATCTCATGAAACTAACATTATTATTACATACTTTGTGATGTTAGTGTCAGACAGCCTTGGTAACCAAATCCCTCAATGTTATTATTCGTATTATATTTTGATATTGATATACTAGTAAACACATGTAGCTATTTGATGTTGTGACGTGATTTGATATATTTCATTTATTTATAGTGTCAAATTCAAACAAAATAAGTGAATACAATTGAAAGGCTTACTACATTTGACATCTTCTGACCAAATTGGGTTCAACCCTTCTCGACAATTCCATTGTTACCATAGTTACCATTACTTACTCAGTGATATAAACACCATGTGACAACAAATAACAACACGTGGTTGGTGATATACTACATGTCACCTTGTCCTTATTATTGCTGACTTTTGCCGTTTTTTATGTCTGTCAGGCCAGTTACAAATTAACCAAGACTTTAAATATTTTTAAAAATGTTATCATGTAATTTCCTAATCCTTTAGCATGTATAAGCTGTATTACTCTGAGGACACATAAATTTAATGGTTTTTAGCCGCATTTTATGTAAATTTAAAATTTCCCTTTGTTCCAAATAAGGTAATGCTAATATCTTAAGCATAATTTGTTGGAAAACTGTTTCACTTTAAAACTACATTTATGTATGTATTATGCGGCCATTTATGTGCGAATTAAAGTTGCAAATAGTAAACTGCTTTTATTTTACGAATAATTAGTGCAGGGTAGGTTGATATCAAATTTATATTTACAAAAAAATGTATACTGTAATGGGGGTAATTATTCACTGGGTTTTAATTTAGCTTATTTCGCTGACTGGAAAATGCGCTAAATTAAAACCCAGTGAATATGTAAAATTTAGCGTAGAACACATTATCTAAATGACGAAACCGTGAATTTAAAACCCACTGAATATGCCTGAAATGGTAAATCAGTGAAATTTAAACTCAGCGAAAATTAGTCATTTTACAGTATTTAT